CTAAGTTTTACAGAACAAATCCTTTTATTAAGGGGATTTGTTCTGTGAAGTTTGGATTCAGTCACAAGGCTGCACTTGAGGACCAAGAGGGCCCCAATGTGGCCTCAAGGCCACAGATTTCCCACCCCTGCTCTACAAAATATCCACTGCACCACCTAGCTAGCCTCGACATGGCTATAGAAGTCACTTTACATTTAGTCAATGGCAGACAGTTTATAATTTAATTCAACCTATGTGCCTATGTTGTCTTTCCTATCATAACAGGAGTTCTTTGAGGGCACAGTTCAATCTGTGCTCTTCTATGTATGCCAAATATCTCATATAACAAAGACTCCTTAAAGATTTACTGGTTTTTTGCATATTTGAACATGCACAAAAATAAAATAATTATACTGTTCCCCATGCCCCATCTTCAATGTGGGATAAGCTCATTTTACAATCTCACAGTCCATCAGACATCATAGGTGAGGGTAAGACAGAATCTTAAAAACCATTTTTCTGCTAGGACTGAACAGAGGCTTTTCTTCCTAAGCCTTCTCTATTCTTAATGAGTACAGCATCTTCCCTAATGGAATACCAGGGAAAAGAGAGTGGAATCATCTAACCAAAAAACTGATGAATGCCTGATGCCCTCCTGTGTCTTCTCTAGCCTTCTTTGCTCCAGAGAGAACTCCTACTCCATATCTGTCCTTCCTTCCATTCCACCCCTCAGAATTAAGGATGGCAAAGCAGGAGAGTGAAGAACTAATTATTTTAGGGAAACATCCCCCAGGGTCCAGCTCACAGCCCAGCTACCATTGCAAAGCAACAGCTGGTTGGTTGTTGAACTGGCTCCAAATCCTGGGAATTCACAGCTATTAATAACTGAGTTGGCTCAATCTCATTTGCATTTCATTGTGATGCAGGAATTCCCTAGTATTACATCCCCAGGCAAATGAGAAGAGCTTAGTTTAATCAGAGTACAGTTTCTCCAGTTAAAGGACAGATCCTGAGAGAGTTCATGGAAACCTTGGTAACAGGACCCAATCCTTTCTGCAGTGAAAGAACATTGCAATTCAGTTGGGGATTCGGTATCACAGAGATTGGGAGAGTAGGAAGGGGTGGAAGTTTATTAACCAATGGGGAATGAGCAGTAAGGGATGGGAGAAGAAGGTCTGCTGATGAAGGCAAGTGAGCTTTAAGGGCTACTTCTCTTTGAAACATCTGACTATTCCCTTGGCACTTACTCACTTGGCACTTCTCTTGGTCACTATACTCAATGAATCAGCCTTTGGGCATTTTCCAACTTTTATTCATAACAGTGTGGGCCAAATGGGATGGCCTTAGTTTGGGAAAGCAGTTGAAGTGTTAAGGAAGGAATTTTGTGGAAAATCAATACCCAAATATTCACAGCAAAACTTTTTTGTGGTAGCATAAAACCTGAAACAAAGCCGAGTGGCCATCAGTTGGAGGAATAGCTGAACAAAGTGTGGGATATGAATGTAATGGAATATTAATGCGGTATAAAAAATGATGGAATATGAGAAATTCAGAGAAACAAGGGACTACACATAAACTGGGGCAGAATAAAGTAAGCAGAAGCAAGAGAACATGCACAATTATTAGATAGATACAGAGATACGTAGGTATTTATTAAGCTACTACGATGTTAATATGTGACAGGCACTGTGTTAATTGCTGGGGACACAAATATAGGAAAGATAAATTCTCCCTTGAGGACAGTTGTAGAAACAACTCCAAGCAGTTACGCTAATTCTTCCTTTAAAAGTATTGAAATTGTACTCAAGACTTAATTGGCTGGGTGAACTAAGGTTTGGGCTAGTGACATACTTTCCTCGTGGCCTAAATGAAAAGAAAAAAGCCATCCCATGAAGAGTCTCCTTGGAGAGACTCCTCCTTTCTGGCTTCTGACCAATAGACCATCATGGCCAACAAAGGAGGAAAGATGCACCTAATGAATCCATCATGTCCATGGCTGAATGTACCTTCTCTGCTACAGCAAAATAAAGCTCATTTTGTTAACTGTTAGATGATCTACAAGTGTCTCATTTCATTTTGACAACAAACCTGAAACACCAGACCAGCCTGAGGCAGGTCTGGCCTAGAAGAGGGAGGATGTGTCATTTTGGCATCTAAGAAACATGGGCAATCAGGGCTTTAAGATTATTACTTTGTCGCCAGAAGTCAATGGTCTACAGACCATTCATTATGTGATGACAATAAACCAGGGTCACTGGTGGTACTGAAAAAAATCTCACTGATATTCTGGATATAGTTCTGAATTGTTTTCCAAAATGGCTGGACCAATTCACAGCTCCCCTAACACTGCAATAGTGTGCCTGTTTTCCCTCAATCCCTCTAAAAACTGTCATTTTCTATTCCTTTTCTTTTTTTCACCTTTGTCCATGTGATTAGTCATGAGGCAAAATGTCAGAGTTGCTTTATTTTGCATTGATCAATGATTTGGAACCATTTTTCACATGGCTATTGATACCTTAGATTTCTTCTTTTGAAAACAACCTTTTGCCTATTCATTAGGAAATGTCTATCATTCTTTATGTTTTAATCTATTCCCCATATATCTAAGGCATCAGAACTTTATCAGAGAAACTTGCTATAAAGATTTTTTTCCTAGTTACCTCTTTTAAATTATAATTTTAACAGCATTGGTTCTGTTTGTTCAAAACTTTGCAAATCTTATATACTCAATATTGTTGATTTTATCTTTGGTGATCTTCTCTGTTCTTTGTGAACTCTTCTCCCATCCATAAATATGAAAGATCACTTCTTCCTTGTTCCTCTAATTTGTTTATGTCACACTTTATGTCTAAGTCATGTATCCATTTGGTATTTATCTTGGTATATGGTGTAAGATGTTGGTCTGTATCTAATTCTGCCAGAATGCTTTCCAATTTTCCTAATACATTTTTGTCAAATAGTGATTTCTTAATCTCAGTCTGGGGTCTTTGGATTTATCTGGCTGTGTTCATATTTCTGCATTCTATGTATCTAATCTTTACAGTAATAAACTTCTATTTTTTAACCAGTACTAAATAGTTTTGATCATTACTGCTTTGTAGTATAGTTTGAGACCAGGTTCGTTTCGTGGGATAAAATAAAAATTACAACACTATGTAACTTAATATATAGATTCAGTGCGATATCAATCTAACTACCAAAGGGTCACCTCATAAAACTAGACAAAAAAAAAATTCATCTGAAAGAACAAATGATTGCTATCAAAGGAAATAATGAAGGAAAAAGTTCAGAAGTAAGACAGACTCAGAGTACTCATTCTCAAACTCTATCAGAAGCAGTAACGACCAAAACTATTTGATACTGATTAAAAAAAAATAGAAAGATTAATTAATGGAAGAAATTAGGCACAGAAGACCCAGAAGTGAGCAGATATAATAGCTTAGTGTTCAATAAACCCAATGACAAATACTATAAGAGTCAGAATTTCTAACTGACAAAAAACGCTAGTAAAATTGGAAAGCAATTTGGGAGAAAGGAAACATATCCACATCTCATACCATATGCCACAATAAGTACAAACTGGATACATGACCTAGATGTAAGAAAGTATAACATAAGCCAAACAAAGGAGCAGGGAAGGAGATAACTTTATTGAGAAGAACATTTTTTTTTTTGTTATAGCAAAGAATTTTAAAGGAGGTGCCTATCAACTGGGGAATGGCTGAGCAAAATATAGTATGTAAGTATAATGGAATTTTATTGCACTGTAAGTTATAACCAAAGTGATAGTTTCAGAAAAACCTAAGAAGACTTGTATGAACTGATGCAAAATGAAGTGAGCAGAACCAGGAGAACAGTTTGTACAATCACAATGTTGAAAAGAAAAAAAAATGGAAAGACTTAAGAATTCTGATCAATGCAATGACCAGTCACAACTCCTGAAGATTCACAATGCTCAAACATGTTTGCTACCTCTTCAGAGAGATGTAATACTCTAGACGTGCAGAAGATATTTTTAGATTTGTTTTGCTTGACTATGGTTATGTGTTGGAAGGCAGGGCTTTTCGTCTTTTTTAGAGGGGAGACTGGTGATGGTAATAACAAGAAAAAAGAAGGATTTTTTTAAAAAGAATGGAAGGAAGTCCAGACAAGCTGAACAGTTTTGGAATTAACTTGAATTTATTACATAGTTTTTTTGAAAAGGTTTATGATAGAGATTTGTTGTTTCATACACTATTCCTTTTTTCTGTTCTTTGCATATGCAAATGTTCACATTTGATGATGTCTGTCAAGTTTAGAAAAAAAAATTAAAATTAAAATCCCAAGGAAAAAAATTGGAGGCCCAACTATTTTCTCTCTTATTAATGCTGTCATTTGATTGAAGGAACAAAAAGAAGTTCTGTGACATTTAAGACAGGACTTAATCTTAATGTCATTTTCATTGGGGGGTGGGGTGGGGAGATAAGATTGGAGAATCAAGGAGCATGGCTGGTGCCCAAACAGTATCCGGAACCAATACTGTAAAAACAGGAAGATGACAGCAAGGCAGAGATGACTTCATTCTTAGCCAAACATGAAACAAGAAAAGGCAACCCTAAAACTTCCAAAGTAAAATAAAAGTTTTTGCAATATGCTGAGAAGTCAAATTCAGCAAGTACTTTAACTGGTATACCAAGCAAAAGATGGTCATCATTTTAACCTGGAAAATGGTTTACACTAGGAATCAGTATCTCTAGTTGAATTTGACCAGAACAGGTTATGTGTGAGGTGCTCCCTAAAAAATATTCACATTTTATAGTCTCTATCAGATTCCATACTGTCTTGGGGAGAGGGGTGGGGAGGTAGGGGAAAAAATTTAGAACTCAAAATCTTATAAAAGTTGAGTGTTGAAAACTAAAAATTAATGAATTTTAAAAAAAATAAAAGAAATACAGGCAAAAAAGAAAAAAAGAAAGAAAAGAAAAATATTCACATTTGATCAAGAAGTCCCTGAAGGAGGGAAAATAGCCGCTGGGACTCACCTGTTGAGATACACTCGCTTCTCTGTGAACTGCCCATTGCCATGGTTAGGATCTTCAAAGGGCTCATTCTGGACAACCTCCACCCCTTCGCCACGGTCACTCTGCTCATGGCTATGTTTGCTGATCATGTACAGTTGTCCTATCTTGTACTGCAAAGAAAAAAGAAACAGAGAAGTTAATTCCACTGCCTTTCATCGGCATCTAGCCAGGAAGCATGCATTTATAAAGTGCCTACTATGTGTCTGTCACCATGCTAAGCACTTTTTACAAATACTATCTCATTTTATTCTCATACTAGCTCTGGGAGGGAGGAGGGAGGTACTATTATTATCCTCACTTTGCAGCTGAGGGAACTGAGGCTTAGGGAGAGAGATTAAATAAATTGTCCAGGGTCACACAGCTAGCATAATGACAGTTGGCACTTTAATAACACTTTAAGGCTGGCAAAGTGCTTTCCCTTTGTTCTCTCATTTGATTCTCATCAACTACCCTGAAAGGAGGAACTCAAGTGTTTCTAGAAAGTTGGTCACACATCCGTCAACTCATCTCTGTATGCAGACCATGAGGCTGAGGACTGGAGGCAGATGAGTTCTGTTTTAGAGAGGGACGGTGGTGGGTATGATAAAGCTTGTAATCTCCCTTGTCACGGTGACAATGACACTGTCAGATGGAGGCACATGTCACCTTAGACAAGTTCCTAATTTCTTGGGAGCTCTTTCTTTCTGGTATATAACACAAAGAGGTCATACTATATGGTTTCTAGTGCACTGTTCAATCCCAAAGCCCATGATCTTATATTTTCTCAGTTATCATCTCTGCGCAGATGAATCCTAGATCCAGCCCTACAATCTCTCCCAAGTTCCAGTCTTACATCACCAATCATCTACTGAACATTCTGGGGTTTTTTAAAATAAATTTTGCTTTATTTTCAAACAAATACCTGTCTTTTCTCCCCCCTACTTTCTCCCCTACCTTTAATCTTTGTTGAAAAAGCAAGAAAAACAAAACCACTGTTATAAACATGTAGTCAACCAAAAGAAAATTCCCACATTGGTAATGTCCAAAGAAATATGTTTCAATCTGCCTATCAGACATTTTGAGATGGATGTCCCATAGGCATCTTAAACTCAACATGTCCAAAACAGAATTCACTATCTTTTTGCCAAAACCCACTCCGTTTCCAAACTTGCCTATTTAGGTTAAGGACACAACCTGCCTTCCAAACACCTAGACCTGAAACCATAGTGTCATCCTGTTGTGAGTGAAATCTGAAATAACTGACAAAACAAGGGTTTGAACTTCCAAGCATATTGATTTATTGACAAGGCTCACAGTTGCATAACAAATCTAGACCAGGCTCACCAGCAAGTACTGGACCCTGAATACTTGGGGAAGCAGATTTTTATGCATTAAAAGCAATTAAGAGAATATAAACCAGGATAGATGCAAGATTAGTTAATATGATTTCTAATTGGAGGAAAGATTAGGGAATTTCTGAGTTGGCAGGGATAAGCAAGTTTGGGGAGTTGGAAGGTGGGAAAGAGAGCAGGTAGACTTTCACAGATGTAAAACAAGATGTCACTCAATTCCCATAATTAGCAAGCAGGTGGAATTTATAGAAAAATGAAATTTCAGTCTCAAAACAGAGTCCATTTTACAAGATGGAGTCCATTTTACAAGATGGAGTCCATTTTACAAGATGGAGTTTGTTCAGTTCACACAATTCTTACAATTCTTTCAATACTTGACTCCTCCCTCCTTCTCACCTGACATATTCAATAAGTTGCCAAATGTTATAGTTTCTATTAGCACAATATCTCACATAGACATATACTTCGCTCAACTCATAAGCCACACCTTAGTTCAGGCCTTCATTACCTGTTTACCAGACTATCGCCATAGTCTACTAATTGATCTCCCTGCCCAAAGACTATCCCCAATTCATGTTCCACATAGTCACCAAAATGACTTTCCTAAAGCACAGATCTGGTCATGTCACTCAACTATTTAAACTCCAGAGATTCTCTATTACTTACATGATCAAATATAAAATTTTATTTAAAACATTTGAAGCTCTTCACAATGTAGTATGTCCCTTCCTACTCTAAGAAGGATAATTAAGGAAGACCTTCTGATCTGCTCAGATTGGTGTCCTTCCCAGGGATATTAATATATGTCTTGGCCCTTTCTATTGGTCCATAATTAGGCCTTTTTCAATGAGACATGTGCTATGGCCACTGATTGAGAAAGAAGTACCCACTCATTAGTTAACTTCTGCATTCCCATAGATAACAGCCATCAGGATCTGTCTGGGTCATAAATTTGGGTATGGTAAACCTCAAATGATTAAAAGCTGCTGAATGATGGCCAAAGAGGAAGGGTATGGAAGAGACAAAAGGAAGGCAGTCTATTCTTTAATGCAACTCCATTCTCCTAAGAGAAACAACAATTAAGATAGATATACAAACATAAAACATATTTGTTGTTGTTGTTCAGTCACATCCAACTCTTCATGACCCCATTTGGGGTTTTCTTGACAAAGAAACTGGAGTGGTTTGCCATTTCCTTCTCCAGCTCACTTTACAGATGAGGAAATCAAGGCAAAAAGCATTAAGTAACTTTCCCAGGGTCACACAGCTATTAAATGTCTGAGGCCAGATTTGAACTTAGGAAGATCATTCTTCCTGATTCCAGGCCTGGCACTTTATCCACTGTGCCACCTAGCTGCCCCATAAAATATATACGAAATAATTATTTTGGAAAGGAGAGAGCAGAACCAGTACAGGCCTTAAGGTAGGTAATGGCTTTACCCTAGGGATTCAGGAAAGCAGGTGGCAGGGATTCTGAAAGGCAGAAATCTTGAGGGAGAGAACTCTAGGCATGGGGAAAGCCTATGCAAAGGGCAAAAGTAGGAAATGGAACATCCCATATGGAGCATAGCAAGTAGGCCATTTTGGCTAGAACATGAGAGTGTACGGGTGAGTAATGTAAACTGAAGAACCTGCTAAGACACTTCTAGACCAAAGACTCTGGGGGAGTCAAGACATGTTCAGACTGAAGGAGGGGGACACCAGACTCGAGGTGGCTCTAAGCCATTCACAAAAGGAACCAAACCAGGAGAGACACATATCCCTTGTCACTGGGTGTAAGAGAAAAATAAATTTTAAGTGAATGGATGTGAACAAAAATGAATGAAAGACCGAATATAGTTCTGGAAAAGTGAATAAAAGATCATAAATAGTTCTAAAACTATAAGGTAGTAACAAGGGCAACTGGAACATTCATGTTGAAAAAGTCTCATTTACATATATTCTTGAGGAACTGCCATCAACACAGACTAGAACAGATGATATGAAAGAAAAAGCAAGGCCAAGCAAGAAGGCAGAAAGCTAAGGATGTTAGCAGTTATTGTCCCCTGTTGTCATGGTAACTGGGAATAGACCCTAGGGGGCTGGCATACGATTTGGGGGGGGCGCATTAGAGGGAGGAGGTTGGAGGCAAAGATAGGATACAAGGAAAAGGAGAGAGGAGGAAAATGAAAAAAAATGTATTTTTAAAATAGTTGAAGAAATACTAGAAAGAACACGGGACTTAAAGTCAAGAGACTTGGGTTTGAATCCCACTTCTAACACTCACTTTTGACCATTTGTTCAAGTGATTTAACCTCTATGACTAATCCTTAGGTTCCCCATCTGTAAAATGAGAATAGGATTCTTGTGAGGAAACTGTGTAAATCTACATGTATGTGTGTGTGCATGTATGTACACACACATACACACAGATTATATTTATGTTATAGGTTGTTACATATGTATTATATATGTTATGTTATATATTTACATGTGTATGCATATGTTATTATTTCACACTTAATTTACATATATTAAATATTCTTTTTCATTTTCCCTCAAAGACCAAGGCTTCCTACAGAAGGAAAAACATCACAGATTAGAAAGCTATCTGGATGAGACCCTAAACAATTCACTCTATAAACAAACACATGCTGAAAAACAAGTAGAAGTTACTCAGCTGCCTGGTGAATTGGAGATTTGTGAACAACTGAAATAACTAGCGCTGAAACAAAATCCCAAATCGAGTCCAGTAGTGAGCCGCTAAAGTCTAGGTCCCAGTAGATATATATATGAAAATAGATAGGTAGACAGACAAAATCAATGAAGTGTCTAGGGCTGTTGCCCTGACCTAAAAGACCAACTATTTTTGCCATGAGATGAACAAATCAAGCCAAATCACCCCAGAAAGATACAGCGTGTATTCACAAGAGTATTGTTTTTTGTAGTAGCCAAGAAATGGAAGTAAAGTGGGTGCTCACGGATTAGGGAATGGATACATAAATGTCATGGAATATTATGGAGCAGCATGCAATGGTAAAAATGAGGAATTTAGAGTTAGAGGAAGTTTTATATGAACTGACAAGAACAGTATGCACAGTAACTACAACAATGTGAAAGAAATGATTCCTGAAAGACAGCTGTACTCTGAGTTAACTAAAAACCAATAAAGATCCTAGAGAACAGATTAAAGAAACACACATCTCTTCTCTCCTCAAGGGCAAAATGTTGTGGATAATGTCCTATCAAGTCATTAAGGGAGTGTTCGTACCAGCTGTTTTTCACGAAAATTGAATTGAAGAGTTGGAAGAGTCCTGTCTCAGGAGCCACTGAGTCCAAGACACACACAAAAGAAGAATCTCTATCTTAAACACCTGATAAGTAGTCATCCGGGTTCTGTTGAAAGATCTTCAAGGACAGGTAATCTAACCACTCTCAAGGCAGCCTAGTTCCATTTTTAGATAGTTGTAATTGTGATGAAGAGGGTCCTCTCCCCACCCCAAATTTGCCTTTTTTTGCAGCTTTCTCTCCTGGTTCTTCCCTGTGGGTTCAAACAGAAGTATTAAGCAACTACTTCCCCTGCTGCTTTCAGGAGTCATATGGATCAGTCATAGAGGTTAAATCACTTGAACACCCCCAAGCAGAGAGAGAGGTCTTAACTGCTTCTTTCATCCCCATTTTTTTACCTCAATATAGTCTTTTTCTGTTGTGCTTAAGTTTCCCTTGACAGCCTCAGCTCATTCTTGAACATTAGCACCTTTGATGGGATCAAATCTTGTTCCTATATTTCTGCACATCCT